AACGTTACTAGGGAAACATGAAGAACAAACTACTCATCTATCTGAATCTATCAAAAGTAAGTGAAGAGCACTGTTGAACTCTGTCTTAAGCTGAGGATGATCAGAAGGAACTGAGGGGTGGAGGAGCCACACGTACGTGATTTCAGCATGCTGGATCCAGGAGGCCAGAGCACCTTGCATACGCGGCCCACTAGAGGCTGTTGTAAAGACTCTGGTCAACAGCACTGGGACATACCCATACCCACAGGGATATTTCTCAAAGAAGAATGAAAGTGTTTGCTAATGTTGACGAAATATATATCAAATGTCCTAGAAAATAAAAAGGCAGTGTTTGATAGATTGGATTCCAAGATGGCCTAAATATACTGACGTATAAACTATGCATGATTTGAAGTGCTATTTCAAACTGAGGAACATGTTAGCAGAGGGAGAAATCTTCCTATCTTCAAGGTTCAATATGGGGGTGGTAAAATTTTACAAGCTATTTTAATGAAAGTGATGCAAATCCTTTTATAACTGCTATTATGCAACTTCCCATATTATGAATGGCACATGTTTTTGTAAAATCTGTCCCTCTCATGGGAAAACAGCTGAATCCAAATTAGAACACAGGGAACTAGCCCTGTTCAGCTCTAGGTCCCATGGCAGGTTCAGATGCAGATCTCTGACTCTTAAAATCTGAAAACCTTAATTAAAGTATTTTTGCACTGTAATCACACTACATAAATGTCTTCTTGTAAAGTGACCTCTTCTCCTGGGTCACATTAAGTCACTTTAAGTCTAATATATTTGTAGAATGGAAAAGTTTAATTGTACAAGAAGTCAATCAGTCAAAGAAACAGACATGAGTGTAAAATAACAAAATCTTTCATACACAGTTTTATACATTGCTCTCGAAGGGTTTCTTCTTGATGATGTCCAACATTTTGTCAAGATCCTGCAATATGTTTCTGGAGGTCTTAGTTTGCATTGTCATTCTTAAGTCCAGCTCAAGAAGTAATGGAAGGGATTTTATTGATTACCGGTAACCCAATTGAAAATGATTAAGCCTAAACTTACGAGACCAACAAATATGCCAAAAATAAATAATGAAAAAGCCTGTGAAGAGAAGAACAAACAGTGAATACTGAACAGCAGAAAACAATACATACTTCTGAGAACTGCTGTTTATTAAGACCCTATGAAAAAGGAAATTCTACTTCTACTGCAATGACAGGCTTTAATAGCATATTTTTAAACAATCTGCTATGTTTAAAATAACCAAGTATTTAAACACAGCTGCTCTTTCCAGCACAAGCGAAATATCACTCAGAAAGATGTTCTTCTATGAACACTACGCTAAGCCTGCTTTGGGAATGATCTCCCAAGAATTTCCTTTCAAAGTTGGTTTTGGGTGACAACACTATCTACTTGGGAAGTGTGTAGACGCACATTTAATTAACTTCCTGGAAAGGAATTAATTCCATTTAATCTCATGCACACGGGGGCTTAAAACAAATTAAGAAATAGAATTTGAGCTTTACTGAAAAGACAGTTCTAGTTAAATGCATTCTAAACACTGCTAGAGCAGCCAGCGGAGACAGAGACAGGCCTTTTGAAAATCATGTTTAGAATCAGTGTTCTATTTTCAACAGCATTAAAGCTGTTGTAACAGTAACCAGGTTACTGATTTATAGCCAACTTAGAGCATAACATCCGCAATCTACACAACCCTACTTCCAAGCCCCAGCTACTGAAGACTTTAAACTATATGTGGGTGTCAATACTAGACTTCCATTAAGATTTCCTATTGTTGCTAGTCCTAGTGCAACCAACCCTATGGAGGAGATGATGAGGGGAGATAAAAGTAGTGGGAACATCAGCGGAGATGATCTGATGTCATTTTAACCATTGTGTTCTCTAACTTTGCTCAGCTGAGATGGTGGTTAAAATGACAGTTGTTATAGTCATAGGCAGCTGCATGTTGTTCGTATTAGAACTCCCCCACTGGCTACCAGTGGTAGTCCTGTAGCTGTTGTATCAACAGAGGGAATGCTGGGGGAAAGCGGACTTGTGCCAAGAAAGGTTTATTAGGTAAAAGCTCATAAACCATATTTGTGTTGAACACTGTTTAACTGGACAGCATGGAGAAGGCCAAACTATATGAGAATCACATTTAAGGACAGATGGATTAAAGTCCCAGATCTGGACTTTGGGGAAATTTGGATTCTAATCAGTATTCCACAGCTCAAGTCCGTCAAAGAGATGGGCTACATTAGTTTCAAGTGTACCACAGAACTGAAATAGAACTTAGCAGGAAGACAAACTCCACCCTATTATTGCAAGCTTCAGGCTACTGAAAAGGAGTGGAGTGCAAGAGGCAAAAACATATTCTGTAATATAATAAAATGTATGTAACAAAAACACATGGAAAAATAGCATACCCCAAGCTTCTGTCGTGATACAAAGTCCTCCCTGCTAAGTTTAAGATAAAACAGTCCAGGATACACAAAGAGCAAACACGTAGATGTGGTAGAACCTTTACAAGATAGAAAAATTTTAGTTGTAGTAAGACAGAGATATACATAAATATACTACGTGTTCTTTTTGGAAAAGAATCCCTTAATCCCCAAAAGAACAAAAAACCCTTAAAAAAACCCACCACTTACCAACTAATCCAAACACATTTCTAATGTCAGGCACATACAATGCAAACAACACAATGATTGCATTGAGTGCTAAAGTGACAAGGATATGGCAAATCCATGAGGTGGGAAGATGTGAGAAAAATAGCATCATTACAGCCTTCCTTGCCTATATAATGAAAGGGGGAAAAAAATCAAACAGGCACACAACTTTATTCCAAAAGGCTTATTATTATTTCCATTTTGATTAAGTATACATCAGGTTTTACTTGGAAAAGACCATTTGAAATGGAAAACATTTATTGACCCCATCCAACAAAAGCCAAAAATAAAGTGTTCACATATAAATGCCATAGGAGATATGACACATATACTTTATAAGACTTTGAAGAACAAAAAATATTATTGCAGAATTGTGCGCACACAAATAATTAATATATGTAACTAGCTTCTTATGAAGAGCATATGTATGTGGTAGCTGGATATACTTTGATGTTAATATTTGCTAATGGATACATTCATTCAGAGAAGCACAGCATTATCCTGAAAATGAAATGAAGTTCTGCACATAAATCCCCCACAAACTGACAGAACTGTCCCCTAAATTTTATAGCCACATGTTAAGTATTGCTTTAAACTATGTGAAGACAAAGCTACATCAAAATTTTGTTAAATCACTAACAGCAAGTATTTTTGCTGACTTCAATTTTCCTCTTCATACTGTCTTTGGAAAACAGAATTTAAGACAAAAAACAAACCAAATAAACTGTAGAATTACTTTATTCTCTAAATTAAAAACAATGCTGTGGGATAGTTTAAATCTAAGATCAGTCTCAAAAAGCACAAATTAGCTTAGTGGTTAGTTATTTTGGCGTTTTCAAGGAACATATGCAAGTATGAGGTCTTTGATCAAGTGCTTGACAAATGAGTAAGATACACAAGGCTAGATAGAGCAGTCTGCAAACAATTATTACTACTATACTATGAATCTGCTATGAAAAGCATCAAAACTTTTAGGAATACTTACAGGGAAATGGATTAGAGGCACTGTCAAAATCACAGCAAACAACATGCCTAGTCTTACAGTCATGATGATGATATCATGTGGCAGATACCTGGTGTAACCTTGCAGTAATTCTGAATCCACTTTGTCTGAAAACCAAGAAACTGAATATATCATAAATCAAAGGGAATTCGGAAACGGAACAAATATATCTCACCTACAGATTGATTCTCAAAGTTTCCATTTGGAGCAGCTACTAGGCTGTTTTGTGCCCACAGCAGAATGGCGGCTGTGTGAGTACAAATTTCTTTCTGCCTCTAATGAAGCCAATAATAAACATATATAATACATGTTTGAGACACAAAGCTAGAGAAACCTGGCCAAACCTAGAGAAACTTCCACTGCAGAGTCATGAAACCTAGCTATGTATAAGTGAGAAAACAAATATGGAGAAGAAAGGACTAAATGAGAGGGATACTTAGGCTTTGCAGACAGACTGTATTACTTGGCTAATCTACAAGCAAGGAAACACTGTGCTAGTCTCATTTGTGATTTCATTTGTCAGCTGGGTTTAACTACTGTAATCAACAAGCTGTAAAGACAGAGAAGAAAAAGACTGAAGAAAACCCCCATAACTTTAAAGATGTATATGATATACAGTATAGGAAGACTGGAAGCTATGATATTGCTACTGGCAATCAGATAAGATATTAATTCTACCAGTAGTGATTGGTGAAGGAGTGGAAAGATGCCAACATTGTGGCTCTGCAGATTCTTTCATCTCTGCCCACAAATTTGTTGACAATGTTGTAGCATGAGGATAGATTCCCGTAAGAAGAGCTTTCAGATTGGAGTTGCACATTCCTTATTAAATACTGAGTCCAATCTAACACTATACTTTCTGATGGCTTATTATCCTCTTTGTGTCTACTCTAAACACTAAGGAGTGCTTTTGAAAGTCTCAGCTGTTATAAGACATAAAGGGAATACAGATAACCTCTGTCAGATAGGACAGTAACATCCTAATGAGCCTGAAAGGACTAACAAATATCAGGGATGAATTCTGGGAAGTTCTTGAAAATGACTAAGGCCTTGTCTACACTAACCTCCACCATCAACCTAACATATGTCGTTTCAGCTATGCAAATGGCGTAGATGAAGTCGATGTACTTATCGCAGCATCTTGCATGCAGTAAGGTCGGCGGTCTTGGGGGGGAGGGGGGGGGAGGGGACTACCAGTGTCAATGGGAGAGCACTCCGAGATAGATTTATTGTATCTTAACAGATGTCGATTTATCACAGCTGGCGGATCGATTACTGCAGCGTTGATCCCTGGCATAGTGGAGATAAACCCTAAGAAAAAGCTAAAGAAAAATTCCAGAATAGAGCCTTTAGATCCATGTACCCTTTTATTTGATGCAACGTATGTCAGAAACAGAATTTAAATAACAGGTAAGAAATACTAAAAAGCCTTAGTCAAAGACTAGCATGTGGGTCTAGTGACAGGTTTCGGAGTATGCCACAGCCCCAATGGACTTGTGCTCTGGAAGTTCACCAAAAGCATTCCACAAAACCCACCAGGCAACTTCTGTTGTCCCCAGAAAGTCAGGTTCTCTCTTACTGCACTATGAATGAAGAGGATATTTCAGGAGTATGCTAGAAAATCTGGGATATGGGTGGTTAGACTAAGGCCTGAATAATACAGTATAGAAGCTGGAGTCCACAGTTGCAACCATGGGTTCAACAATTCCCAATCTGGGATTACGAAGAGTATAGATGCTCCAGTGCTTCATTTATAAAGGTCAACTAAATGCACGTTCTACTAATCCTGCAGTTACAATGTTAGGCTAAGACCAAATGAAAAACTATCCAGACCAGGACTTTATCAGAATCTTCTCCGATTTATTTTTTTATTTTACAATAGTAATAATCCATAGGGAATAAATGACAATTTACCATCACAGATTCCGAGCAGCAAAGGGAAGCTGCTTCATTTAAAAGACCTGGTCCTGCTATGGCATGATCCTGGAGAACAGATTTGCTAATGGATACCTCCAATTTGATGAATAAAAATCACAGGAGTTAGAAGTAACTAGAACCATTTTTGCTAGCTGTTTAGTCTTCCTGATCATTTGTCTGAACACAGGGCGAAAGGGTGGAATTCAGTAAACCAAAGTACAAAGTACCAACTGTGTGGCTCTATATCTCAAACAGAAAAGTATGAGATAATTTCTGGTTGAACTGGTGGTAAATTTGCTCAGAAGCAAACTCTTTCTATTGAGCCAATTAACATTACATGGTCAGCTTTCCATTCACATGAGGTATAATGTGATTTGGAAGGTAAAATTTCACCATTTGGGAAAGTAGCTGCAGCATTTCTAATTTCAAAGAGGAATTCTTGACCATTCCTCGACTGACATTTGAGATTGAGATTTGTTTGTTTGACATGCAAGTGACCTGATGTTGTGGCAAAAGGCTAGTGTCAACTTAAAATCATGAGTAGCACAATAATTTAAAAGAAAACAAGATAGAAGCAACATAAAAGACCAGCTGAGAGAACTTTAATTCCCTCAACAGTAATGAGGGTGCCTCTCTAACCTCCACCATCATTTAAAGAGTGAGATTAGTTTTTGCAAAAAAGTCACACCTGGGATGGCAAGTATTATGTTCCAGTCTCTTACTGCACAAGCATAACTCCTACCTTTGGTTCTAAAAGTGGAAAACAACAAGTACTTGAAAAACAAACCAAGAACTGCAACTTTCACTTTTGTTTCCATGTCTTTTGCCCTTTCATCCTGACCATGATTTAAAACAAAATAAAACAAACAAACACAAAAACAAA